ACCCAACTCTGGGCACAAGAAAAAAAAACTACCTTTTGGAGTGGGCCCCCCTCTGCATGGCAAGGGTTAAATGCTTTTTAAGTCTAGGGGTACCGGGATAAGGAGTAATACTTACCTCATTCTGTGCAAGCAGTCATATGAGGCTTCCTCTCTAAGGCACTTCCGGCGTTGGTTGCATGTCTGCCTCCTCCACATTCAATACAGGGCCGATATTCCTGATTGCGCAGAGGGTTCACCCAGAACTCAGAGCTGTAAGAAAAGCTTCATCTCTCCCTAAAGGTGCCCATACACCTGCCGATTATCGTACGATAATCGCGGGTGATCCCGCGATCGTACGATAATCGGCAGGTGTATGGAAGGCGTGCCACCTACTTCTACTGCACGGTCGCACGTCTTTTGTTTTCCGAGCACGCTTGAAAACCTGCCGAAAATCGTACGATTTTCGGCGGGTTAGTGGTGTGCCCGGAAGACAAATGCCGAACGTGCCGGTGTGCAAGACGGGCAGATCGTACGACATTTTAAATTCCCTTACAACCATCACACAAGGAAAGTCGTGTGATGGTTGTAAGGCGTATGGCCAGCTTTAGACTTAACAAGCATTTAAACCTTGCAATGTGGAGGGGGGCCCCCTGCAAGATTTTTCCTTTCTCCAGCCCGGAGTTTGGCTTTAACATGAAACACCTCAGCACAGTATGAATTAACAATTGCAAGCAATGTTCCCACTTTTTAAGATTGTTTATGATTTTTTTTCTGTTTAATCTGCTAGGCGGCTATAACAATCACGTTTTGCAGTCACTGTTACATTGCACAGGGAGTTCTTCTAGTTTTTGGGGAAATGTCCCTTGGATGGCTCAGTTTTTTTTCAAATTTGTGCATGAAGTGGAGAAAAGGATGTTGCTTGTGCCACTATCACAAAGTGATGTATGTGTATGTGGCAATTTTTAGACATTTGGATTATAGAGGTGGGTGCCATCAGGAGGTTGCCTTTTCTTCAGCTCTGTTGAAATAAACTCAAACTATATTTTTTGCTAGTATATATTATTATATTAATATTATCATTATCTTTCTTCATTTAAGATACTCTATATATAAGCATTGTGGTGAGTTCCAGAACTTTGAGCAGTGTGTTAGTCATAGAGTGTTATCTAGTTTCAAAGCCATGCTACAGCCTCTGGTGTGTCCCAGTTTCTGAAGACTTGTGTAGTGAGCAGGCCTCTGAATGTGGGTAGCCTAGCCTGGAACGTGAGGCACTGGGTTCTACATTGTGGCACTTTTCCAGGCCTTCATTTACTGTGTTAGTTACAGAGCACTCTCCAGGTCCAGAGCGTTGTCATAGACTCTGGTGTGACTCACTGAGGACTCACTAAGTGAGTAAGGTTGGGTTGAAGCTCTAGGATCTACTTCATAGTTGATACCATTGGGCTCCAACTTAAAATCCCCCATTTTTGTGGACCACCTTAGCTGTTGGTCTATGTTTGTTTCTCCTGTTAGGCTAGGTAGTTTGGTGTTCTACCTGTTTTGTTGGATGATTGGTTGTCCTTCCCGCTAATTAGGACCCATAATTCATTCAGCTAGTGGTTTCTGCTTAGTGATATCTACCTCTACAGCACAAGGCTGAACCTTGGTGCCCTCCCTTCGCCTTTTTCAATATTTGATGGGTTCTTCAAGCCTTTTTTCAACTGCTAATCCATTCGGAAATGGTGGTAGTACAATCTCCACATCAGTCAGATCTCTCAGTTGGACATCTCGAATTCCTAAGAGTTACTACATTTCTGTGCACCTCAATGGATGATTAAAAAAAGATTTTTGTACTTACCCTACAATCTGCTTATAAAACTGAGGCATGACAGTTGGAATTGCGGTTATACAAGGTTTAAACTTTTTTTGTGTTCCAACCTCCTGAAGGTGGCAGTATAACCCAAATGTCTAAGAGTTACTGCATTCCTGTGTCCTCCATTGCACGTCAAGAATCTTATTATCTGTTTATCTGTTATCCTCAGAGAGCTATCTGCCCCTCTATGGTCATCCATATTGTTCACTGCAGCATCCTCTGACATCGCCTTTTAATACTACACATGGTGCACCTATTCTATATGAACACATTGCAATACAAGCTCATTCACTAAATCATAAACAGCAGAGTGATTTCAAACTGCAATTTTATAACAATATACCTAAATACTAGAAACAAAATGTAAATGATCTGAAATCTAAGACAGACTCCCACAGCCTTGTGCTGCTTGCAGTTTGCCTCCATAGCATTCAGTGAACCAGTGAACAATTAGCTACACATGGTACCAGACAGCACTGCAGATAGCTCACATAAGTGCTGCTTGTGTGCAGGCTTTTTGCCATACAAACATTCAGCATTCATGTGAGCAAACTGCTGTGTTGCAGGACGTATACTTTAACTGAGAACCCTAATATGGTAATGCATATTCCATTAACTGCATGCATAGCTGTGTGTAAGAGTGCTATAGATTCATAAAAGTAGTTTTTATATATGTTTGATGCATTTGATCATGTTTGCCTTGCATTACAATGGTCTGGCTGCATTGCCCCATGTTTCATGTACAGACAGAATATAATGGGAATGTAACATACACGCAATTGTCGGAAGGGGTGCTTTCATAACCTGCATGGGTGTGAATGTTAAGCCAAATAGATCAATGTGCCACCACTCTGAAAAGTATTAAAGGAGTAATGTCTACATTGTCTAGGAAGGTTAAGACTGACATTGTGTATCTGGTAAATTAAACAAATATACTTATAATTTGGTAAATGATGCTTCTCAGTAAATATTCATTTTAAAGGATAATCAAAAAGTACCATGTAGATGGTAAAATCACTGTTATGGTACAGTTGGTCCAATTTTAGTTGGAAGAATATTGCCAAAGGTAAACATTTCCACAGACATACACACTGGATTAACACTCCTGCAGTGCATTAAGGCATTCCATTCATTTAGAAAGGCCTGGAAACACCCCTCAGTATATAGGCAGAAAAAGCTCCTGCAGTATGTATTATTTTTATGTAAACCATCTGTGCATTGTGGTTTTGTGGTGGGTTGCATTAGAAAAAAAAAAAGTGTAGGTGCGGTTTTTTTCATGCATTGAGATTTACTGTCAGCCAATTTAAAATGAATGGGCACACAATAGTGTGAGTGGTCACTTCCTGTACATGTGTATTGGGGTGTGTGATAAAACGTACATTTTACTGCAGCATAATAGTGTTACTGACAAACCCTGTGCTGCCTTTGTAAACCAGATATGGGGAGATATGTTTTAATCAATCAGTTTTATCATTGTGTGGGGTGCAGCACATGTGTAGCTTAGATCAATGACTTCTAATAAGCCATATATTGTCTAGATCTGCCAGTCCACCAATCATTAAAGCATATAGCTAATGTTTTTTTTTTCTTTTAATTATAATTATACCACGCCAAGTCCTGGTTCACTCCATCACGATCTGTGAATGCGCGGCAAACTCGGTCAAAAATGTTCGCTTTGCTGTGCTTTCACAGAATGCATACAGAACGCACAATGCGCATGCGGTGCCATTGCTAGATGATGGCACACCGAATGCGACTGGGAAAATGCGCAGAAAACATGGGAAGCATGTCTCAGACTTTGCCGCATGCACAACTTTTCCCGCATTTGGTGCGCATGCGGCACCCATTAAATCAATAGGGACGCAAGCCAATGACGGGAAATGCCCGCAAATGTGCGTCCCCACTGCGCTATGGTGTGAACGGGAACTAAGGGATTTCATAATGCAGTTTAGAGTTAACACTTCATACCTGTGCATGCTGACTATATTATGACAGTATATTGTATAATATTCTGTATTACATCTGCCACCATGAAAACTTATTTTTGCACTGTTTTGCAAGGTAAATTGAATCTGACCTGCAAAGCCCAAACTGTAATGCCCTGCATAGAACTTGTCCGTGAGTAGTCTAAGCTCCTGATAATCAAAGGTTATTGCAGCTCACAACCAGACCAGCAAGGCTGGCATATGAAATCTTACCCAAACTGAAAATGTCAGTAATGTCCATGTCAGCCATTCAGGTGCTCACGTACAGGGGATGATGGCACCTTCCTTTCCTTGATTTTTTGATGAGCCCTACAGTGATCTTATAGGGTCACTTTTTAAAGGTAGGAAAAGAGCCTAAAAGCTTTTAACAATAAAACTGTACATCACCGCCTCTCTACAAAATTCAGATTTTTACACAGCAGAATTTCCATTACAAATGCAGATAGGAAGTGTATTCCTCACTTTAATATAGCAGTCAGAGGCATTCAAGTCATTGCTTTATGTTCCTGTGACCATCTGTGCCTAAAGAAATGTGCATGCCAGTGAATGACCAACTGCACATGCAGCATGTAAAGAGGACATGTAATGTCTGCTTAGAAGGCAATGCAGTACTTCAGTGTTTTCTTGTGACAGTAACTTGAAATGTATATCCATAGAATTCTCTTTATTTAACCTGAACCAATGTTATAATAACCTGACTACATAGCAGCAAATGAATATTTGCACACAGGGCTTGGCGAACAAATTGCCTGGTAGCTAAGTGGCGTAAAAAATTGGGATTTGAACTGTTTGGGATATATTGAGTGCTTGATTTTTTGAATACTTGTTGTCTCCCTTCCTTTTTAGACCCTTTTTTAGTATTTAAAAACTCTTTTTCCTTTTCTGTCAGTTTTTTTAAACCTGATCCAGCCAATTATACTCCCAGTGGGGGGAAACATAAATAACATTCTGCTCCAACCAAAATTGGGAAGAATCAGCTGGCTGTGACCAGAGGTACTTGGCAGTGGTACCTGCTCAGAGGACACATAAGCATGCTTGGCAGATACAGGTGCTTATTTTTATATCACCATTTTTATTTTCTTTAAGAATGTGTGTGTTCAGTGGTTGGCTCTTAGAACAATCATCTCTTGCCTGTGAGTGGCATATCACGGTGGTCATAGGTCGCAGAAAATGTGGCTTCATACCTCACAGTCCTTGTGTCCTCCTTCCTCGTTGTACACCATGATTGAATTCAGGGGCTCATTTTCAACTGGGACCATGACTTTCTCACACTGGATTTTGCACAGCAGGAAACAAAGCACTGCAGCAATGAAAGAAATCTACATGAATACATGCTGGAGACACTTGAGCAGGGGGTACTGTCACAAGAAAAGAAAAGAGGGGCTTCAGGAGAGGGGAGAGAAGTTACTGCAGGAAGGGAAAAGAAAAATACTAGACTAATAGTAGTCTTTTATCAGCTGATTCCCAGAGGTGGAACAATGCCCTCTGGTGGAAAAAGTCAGGTAAGGCATCTGGCATAACACTGCTGCATGAGGCAGGATTAAAATTTTGCGCAGCAGCCTGAAACCGACTTTTTCTTATTAAACTTATATTTTCTTTGCAAAGTAATCAACAGTAGAACATTGACACTTTCTCTTTTATGGTCAATTCACACCATGTGTTGCTTTAAGACTCACTGTTGTAACGCAGTCCATTAATTCTCAATGGGCTGTCAATGCACCTCAACACATAAAAAAGTACATGCACCTTTTTTTTCTTAATGCAGCACACCACAATGCACAATTCACATCTAGCTAGCTAGATGCATTTGCATGGCATCAAAATGAGCCGTATAACAATGCACTACACTTTGTTACACCACACAGTTCTGTGCACTAGTGTACATTGCATGGTAAGGCTTTTTGCTGCAACATATATGTGTGACTGGGCCTGCAAACTCTCCCTACCACAGTCACGTCACTCTGATCTCACTTTTATACATAAGCACTTTAATGAACGAATACATTTACATTGCACAGTTTCCAGATGAAAATTTACTGCACCTTTTTACTGTCCATCTTGAATGTATTGCAGCTTGCCAGTCTTTAGATGTGGCGGCTGCATTCGTTTTCTTATGTCAGGCCTTTTTTCCTTTGTTTTAAACTTCTGATCTGGCCAGTAACATATTTCCTGTCCTAGGGTGACAACACTCACTCACCGTTCTGTATCTATGTAGGAGCAGTGTTGTCACCCTAGTAGGAAAAGTTTTAGGACTGCGGAACACCTTCTCTTCTCATTTCCATAACATAGGGTGAAGGTGTTTTGTAGTCTACAAAGGGAACTGGGAACAACGATGACTAGTAACAGTCAGCAAAAGCAAAGGACACAGAAATGTATCAGCTCACTATATTTGTGGCAGGATCAATTAGTGTATTTTTGCACTTATCGAACTGATACAAAAACACTTTTAATGGCATATTTAATCAGCCAAAAGGGAGTAACTAAGAAAAGTTAATTGAGGCTTACACTTATATAGGCTTAGTTTACCTTTCTGACCATGTTTTGTGTTAAACCCATATGTAGGGTGCGACATGAAACCTGGTCAGATGCACATTGTTTCTCTTATACAGAAGTGTGCAATAATTACTTATTTCTTTCTTTACAAAATAAGCTTTCATATACCTCTGTTGAGAAGAAAGGTTTGCAGCTTAAAAACTGACGGTCAATTAAAAAAAAAAAAACCCCATACTTACGAAGAAATAGTACAGGAGCCAGTAGAAGCAGTGCGATTGCTCCCCCACCAAGAGTCGGAGGGCCGATCATTTTTTCAACGCAGGCCTCTCCACCCAAGCAGTCACAGACATACACTGTGAGGTTCTGGAAGGAGACCATGCCTTGCCGGTCATAGATCTCAAGGTGTAGAGTGTGATTTCCTTGGTATGCATCTTTCTCCTTCTTGACCTTAATAATATCATCTGAAATACAAACATTGGTGGTTATAAAAAGTCAGTATTGTCCATTTTATATACTAGAAACAGAATCTGGTAGCCATTGTCCAGATTTCAATAACGTGCGGCAAAACACTAGTTTTATCTGGTTTTAGCTTTGTGCACAATAAGGCAACTACACACACTGCATTCCTTTTGTAGTGCCATTCATTTGGCATGGCTCCCCAATGCACTGATCCATCACCCTGCAATGTACAGATGTTTAAAGGGGTTCTAAAGCCTCCTGTTTTTTTTGCCTATATCTACTGCTATCAAGCTATCAAGCAGTAGATATAGGCAAACAGTTTTTTTTTAAAACCAAACCACTAAAACAGCGGTTTAAACTTACCTTTTTTTCTTTGCACGCTCCTGCGCCAAGAATCAGGAACTGCTCGTACGGCCGCAAAGGATCTTGGGGCGGGCGCATGTGCAGTTCGGATTCTCGGCCGGGAGACGAGCAGAGACGCAAGGTAAGTCTATGGACGATCGGAAGTGCTTGCAAGCAGAGAGGTGTCAGCGCTGGATCGAAGAGCCACCGCACCGCTGGAGGGACAAATGAAAACATCAGGAAAGAAGAAGATCGGAATAAAAGACATCATGGGGGGGAGGGGAAATTTTTTTTGACTTTAATGTCACTTTAAGTGCACCAAAGAACACGGATATGAACCAACTTTAAATTGTGGTGTGCTGCATCGGAAAAAGAGGTGCAGGTCTTTTAAAACCTGCATTGCCTTGTGTTACCAGCTTGTTCATAATTAGACATGTACACCAGCAAAAAATTTGTTTCGTTTCGTTTTGATTTGGATTTTGCTTTATTTTGTTTTTTGGAATTCGGGTCCGAAAGTCAATTGGTTTCGGATTCGGAGCAAATTCGTTAGCGGTAATCCGTACAAAATTTTGCTTTGTTTTGTGTTCGTTCGATGCAGCAAAGTGACATTTAAGAGGAAAAAAAGGGTTTTTGTTCTCAAATGTCACTTTCCTGCAACGAAATTTCATCCAAAAAACGAAAGTTCGTCTAAAAAAACGAATCGGAAGTTCGGATTCGTTTGCATTCGTTATATCTGTAATTCGGATACATACGAAGTTCCGAAAATTTCGTCCAAATTTCGATTCGGAACGAAACGAATCGCACGTGTCTATTCATAATCAATGGGCTGCATTACCGCAACGAAACACACATAAACCTGCATGTGGCAACACACCAAAACCGTGTGAATACAGCAAAGACGGCTCCTCTGTCTTCTTGCCTAACATAACCTTGCTGCCCATAATCTTGTGTTCATAAATCACTAACAGCTCAGCTACAGTATATAAATATGCTGGGCAAGTATACCCAGTCTTGTCTACTGAGGGCCGTTTTGCTGATGAATGCACATTGAGACACAATGGCTAGGCATAGATGGACAAATACCTCTCCAAGTATGATGGGCAGGAAAATACCATCTGATTTTGTGATTTTACACATCTAACAGACATTCATTGCGAACTGTATATGGTTCCATCTCTAAATTGTGGGAGCTTCTCTTCAGAGATGTAGCTATTGTTCTGTTTTATTTGGGATTCTAGTGTTTATGTTGATTTACTTCCATACCAATCATCAGTGATATGTGCACAATGACTTTTTTTTATGGTGGGAGTAGGGTCTTGCAGGGTTGCACTTGTTTCTGCTACTGTTGTAATGATAATGTGAATAATACAGTTTAGGGATGAAACTCTGTTAGTATTGTTGTATTTTTGTCGGTTGTGCATAGGTTGATTTTGAAAAGTTATTTTGAGACTGTGTGTGAGATGTGAGCCTGTACATTGTTAAGGTTTTGTCTTAAATTTAAAGACCAATGGATTCAACTGTGGATTGTCTGATCATGGGGACTTGCTACATACCTTGTTCATTGGTGACAGTGGCACCCTATTCAAATCGTGTTTTCTCCCCCATAACAGTGGAAATGAGAGTGACTAAACACAGGTAGGTTTGCCAAGAAGTTGGAAGTGCAGTAACGAGCACTGATTATGATGCTTGGAAACATTTCAGAAATTTATATTGTGGAGCTTCTTTTCCGGAAGGTCTAAGCGGATCTCTTCATATGGCTACTCTATAGAGAATGGTCCCTTTGGCCATTCCTGCCAGTAACTGTCCATTGTATGGAACAGTGGTGATTTATTGCCAAGAGGTATACACTCCGATGTTAACAAACTCGTGAAGAAATCAGGAATTGCTCTAGGGCTACCTCAGCTATGCGTGTCTGTCAGCCACTTCAACTTTTGCTTTAACATTGGATTTGGTGCAGTTGTGGGGATCACCCATATGTATTTGATTTGGCCATAACTGTATAAATTTGACCAATTTTAATAACAAGATAACATTACTTTATAATGATTTTGTTATTTAATATGTATATTATGTTTTTTGTTGATGATGATGATGATGATTGATGATGATGATGATGATGATAATAATAATATTAGTAGTAGTAGTGTTTCTGTGGAGGGGGCTGCCTTACTTATGCTGTGCTTTTCTTTCTTAAGCTGGCCATACACCTATAGATTATCTGTAGATTTTCTATGGCCAGATAGAAAAAGTGCAACGAATTCCTCCATCTACGCTGAACTGTGTGGATGTTGGAATCTCTCACTGGGCCAAGCTTCAGTATCTTACTAGTCGGCCCCGCTGGCTCTCACAATACCGGAACAATGCCTGCATCCAATCAGATTGTTCAGGTATTTTGACAACCAGCCAGGCCGACTAGTAAGATACTGAAGCTTGGCCCAGTGAGAGATTCCAACATCCACACAGTTCAGCGTAGATGGAGGAATTCGTTGCACTTTTTCTATCTGACCATACAAAATCTGCAGATAATCTATAGATGTATGGCCAGTTTTACAGGGGAATTGCTTCCTTGTGATTGTCCTGTGAACGCGATGACAGAGCAGAATCTACTTAGACATTGCTAGGCAGCAACATCCTGCATGCTGTGCACGCTAAAGGTACATGTGGCATACATTTACAATGCACATTCCTGTTTGATACAGTACACACACAGTATATAATGCTAAACAGCAGTGTAAGTGGCCCTGGGAGCAATGACTAAAAGAAATTCTACTAGAAGATGTACTTTCTACCGAGATGTTGTACAAGCTAGCTAGATACAGGTACATGAGCTTGCTGATATTATTAGGCTAAAAATTAGCCTTTTTTTTTTTTTATTTTTTTTTAGCATTTTTCATTTTTGGCTGCAGAAGATTAAGCAACAGGCAATCAAACACGTTTCTGAGCCCTGACACCTCCCTTGTAACTAGTGTTTGCTTTATTTAGGCTAAGAGCCACTGTTTATGGCTCAATTCAATATCATTTGTTTTCAGGTTCTAAAGTAGAAGGCGTAATTAATTTTCGGGGTCTTGTGCCCTGAATGTGTCTTTTTGTTATGCAGCTGTTGCAATGGTCTCTGTGCTCCCCACAAAAGCTTGCCAAGGGTTTCAGTTTTAAGGGATAGCCATTGCTGATTTTCCCAGGCTGGTTGCCTAGCAGCTAGAGAAAGAAGGGAAAGTGTTGAGGAAGTGCAGGTAGCTTTGCACATGCATGTATATATGTCTATATAGTTTGTGTATGGTATGAGATCGATATTCACATACACACACATTTTTTTGGTGCATTTAAGAGCAAAGCATCAAAAGTGCAATAAGATGTTCTTTGAAAACTGATACAAAAGTAATTTTGTAGGACTTGTACTATCAACTTGAAGCCAGGTGAGGACTGAAGAGCTCTGTGGCTTGCTATTGGGAAACTAATATAGTAGCAACAGGAAAGCGTGTTAGAGACTCCCCTCGTTCACCTTTCCCCAGCGTGGGCCTCACAATGTTGCCTGCCTGCGGGGTATAACATTGAGTTTGTAGGTGCGTCTCATTCTTCTAACAACCTGATCTTCAGGTTTTTTAGCCAGTGTCCTGCTATTTATTATCTCCAATAATGTGACAGGTCACCTCTGGGGAGGTGAGCACACCTTGCTGTGTGTCATACATGTCAGAAGAAATTACTGTAATTCCCTTTTCTTTGTATCGGCTCATACTTTTACTTAATATTATCATTTTATTTTATAAATAAATCTGCTCATACAAACTTAAAACTTGTAAACTAATAAATAGCAAGTTTTCTTTGACAGTATACCTTCTAAATGATCTAGAAAAAATACCTATATTGATTACAATGTGAACCACACTAATAACAGCAGTGTTCAATTTCTCATAATAACCAATTAGACTTAATTTATCGTAAAGTTGAAAGTTTTCAGAAATTGTGAAGATGATTGTGTTAGGTGCAGATGTGCACCCCTCTCGCAAATACAAGTTTAAAATCAAGTCTGTGAAGTCTGACTGATGATGGGGGGTGGGGGGACAGACAATCTTTATGTTGCTCAGATCTGATCTTGGCAATGGTTAATTCTTTAAAGTGATTGTATAGTGGTTTTGTGCATATATTTTTTTTATTATGAGGGCTAAAATAATTAACTTTTAAAAAAATACTATATTGTTTACAGTTCTCAATAGCTCAAGGCAAAAATTATGCAGAACTGACTTATCCTGCTCCCTCCATATGGCCCGGTTAAAGGTTTCATTTAGACAGAGTGAGCCTGAAGGCAGAAAGCTTCTGTTGAACTATCTATTAAGATAACCCACATTTTTCCTTTGTTATATAACACATGCTTATTTGCAAAATAAAGGGTGTGTGTTCATAAAAATAATGCACATGTAGAAATTGGAAAGTCACCTTAATTAAGGTGACACTTAAAGGAGAACTATGAGATGAGTGATTTCCACTCACCTCATAGTTCTAGCCGACCTGTGACAATGAGACTGTCACAGGTCGGCTCAGTAGATCGGGAGGTGAGCGAACACATACCGGGTTTGCTCACCTCTCGATCCTGTCACGGCTCTCTGCCATGACAGGGGGAGGGGCTGGATTCCCCCTCTCCCCGCTCCGATCTGCCAGGGCTGACTGGCGGAACGGACGGGGGAGGGGGCGGGTACAGCTGGCTTTGCCTCTAGATAGGCAGAGCCAGCTGTCACCCACGCAGCTGGGCGGATCTCGACGTCCATGTCGGGATCCGCTCAGGCTGCGGCGTCTACTGAGCTTAGGGTAACGGGAGGACGCTAGTTTGTGTCCTCCCGTTACCCTATGGGGAAAAACACTGACCCCATAGTTCTCCATTTAACTCAGGAGTTAAATCTTAAAAATGCATTAAACAACCTTAACTATTACCAACAATGTATCTTATTTGTGTGTCACTCAGCTGTAGATCCTCAAATCATCTCTGAATTAGTGCCGACACTGTCCTTCCTTCTGGAGGGGGGCTACTTTTGTTCCCCACGGTCCCTGTGTGTGTTGTAAAGTAGCCACCGCTCCAAGCTCACTCCTGTGATGGGCTACAATCCCATGTTTAGTTTACTAATTTGTATTGAGATTGTAGTCCATCATATGGACGAGCTTGGAGCGGTGACTACTTTACAACACACAAAGGGATCATGGGGAACAAAAGTAGCCCCCCTCCAGAAGGAAGGACAGTGTCAGCACCAATTCAGAGATGATTTGAGGATCTTCAGCCGAGTGATACAAAAATAAGATACAGTATTGTTAATAGTTCAGATACTTGAATGTATTTTTAAGATTTAACTGCTGAGTTAAGTGTCGTTTTAATGTTTTCAGTAGTGTAGGGAATAATTAACCCCTGTTGTGTTTATTTTTTTAGTCTGTGTTCCATTTTGGAGATATCCTTTCACTTTTTTCCTAAAGGCAACAGTAAACAGGAAGTGAAAGATAATCTCTTCAAAGTGAGTGGCAATCCACACCAAATAATATTGGCTTTAGGTGCACTTTAAGTACAACATTGCAACAATGACTCATGATTAATTATTGAAGATATATTTTAGTTTTTGAGACTCAGGTCTACTTTAGTTTTAATAGGGGAAGACTATGTTATGTTGCTAATAATAAACTGATTCATTTTTGGAAGAGCATGGTTTGTACATTAATAAGGGGGATATGTGATATTACCTACAGGGATGTACATTATGTTACTTACCATCATAGTTCAGAAGTTTTAGAGGCATCTTGTCTTGGTCTTTGTCTAACACATTAACATAGAATGGGCCAGAATAGGGCTCCAGGTCTTTGTCAATGATGGGTGTAACGAGAAGAACCTCCTCTTCCTTTTCACACGTTGTTAAATAAGGACTTTCCAGACTAGGGGAATTGTCATTAATGTCCTTCAGGTTTATAAGCAGAGTGGCAGAACCTGTCATTGGAGGAGCCCCTAGACACAGAAAGAAAGTAATATATTTAAAACAGTCTTTAAGGTTTCTATAGTGGCTTAAAATATTTAGAAAAAAGGTATAAAGAAGTAGCATATGCATCGAGACCAGTGGTTCTCAACCTTTCTAGGGCCGGGACCCCTTGGTAACATTTGCTAAGTTGTGGTGACCCCCACCACCACAACTTAGCTGTCAATCACTAGACGAGGACCGGATGGAGAACTTCAGGACCCCCTCTGTTGATTGGCAGCAGCAGAGGGCGGGTGCAATAGCTAGTTTGCTATTGGCTATTGCAAAGGGAAATAGCCAATAGGAATCTAGCTATGCATTCCTATGGTGTTTTTTTTTTCTTTTTCCTTACTTACGGCGGCCCCGATGTTAGAAGATAAAATAGCGGGAGACTACCGGGCGACCCCCGGCAAATCGTCATTCGACCCCCGACGGGGTCGCGACCCACAGGTTGAGAACTGCTGATCTAGACAGACCACAATAAATACCAGAGGAAATGTGGAAACATTACAGTTGATGAGGTCCACATTGCATGAATTGTTTTTCCACATCGGATAATAAGAAAGCAAAAGGCTCATCCTCAGCAAGTTAGAGATTAGCAACTTTGCCATTGAGAAGCACAGAAAAGTATTTGCTTGGACCATACATATCTATGAATACAAGTAAACCATTCATTTTGTATTTATAGGTATAAAGCCTCTCATGTCTTATTTTTTTTTTTCCATACTGTTATAGGTGTTCCACAAAACTACATAACACAGAGGCCTTTGGCTTCCCTGAAGGCTTTGTTACAATTATTGTTAATTACAGGATAGGATTGTAAGTCCTAAACCAAACTCCTAACCTGGAGGACTTTTTTCGGAGGCAACCTTCCCAGCATGGGTGGCTCAAATAGCTGCGCTATCATTGGTGTGGCTTTCCAAATCCACTATGTCAAAGTAGGGATACCTTTAGCAGGCCCATATTTTTATAATATATATTAGAGATGCATGAATGCCATTTTTTTCGGTATCGAGTACGAGTACTGATACTTTGCTTTCGGTACTTGTCCATACCGAGTACCGATACTGGTGCTTCTGCTGGCATGGAGCCAGGTTCCCAAGCAATCTGATTGCACAAGAAGCTGGCTCCATGTTGTCTGGCCGGCTTTATTGTATTTGGCTGGGAAACCGGCTTCCTGGCCAATCAGGAAGCAGAGAGGCGGGTCATTACTTGCTGCCCAGCTTCCCAATCGCTCGGAAGCTGGTTTCATGTTCCCTTACCGCACTGCCGGTCTACTTGCCCAAATACTCTGTATTAGCACCAATACTAGTATCGGTGCATCCCTAATATATATTTTAAATATATTACATATCTATCATAGCACTTTACAGAAAACCATTTATATCGATCCTAGCCTTAGATTATAGTCTAATATCTCTCACCAGAGTAAATTACACACACATAACTACACTACCAGCGTGTTTTTGGATTATAGGAGTTAACAGAATCACTTAGAGGGTGCCCAAACAAGCACAGGGAGAACATGTCAATTGACCCGGCTATGAGCTAAACGTTTAGATCTGAGCACTGCAATATAATAGTGCTAACCACTTACCCACCATGCTGTCCTCTTCCATGTTAATGTTATAAACCTACTGTCTTTAACAGAGGATGCAGTTACCATTAACTATCTTATTTATTAGGGAGTATAATGTTCAGTGAAAATGTGTATTGACCATGGTTACCAGTCACATTTCTACTTCATCAGCATTAAAATACTGAAAGCTACATTCTGATTAGGTGCTGTAGGTTAGTGCATTTGTCTGTAGAACATTTGATGAGAGATAACATACCGGTAACTCATTTAATTTATTTTCTTCTCTGTATCCTATGAGGCAGATGAGCAGTTGTTGAACACTAAAGAAGACACTTCTCTTTTATAGAAATAGTGTTCTGTTTTGTGCGTAAGTGTGTTATATTCCATCACTAAAAATCCTGATTCATCCAGAACTGCACTGATTCTGTTCCTCACTAATAATGCTGATTGATCCACAAATCAGCTTTCATCATAAGGCGAAAATAGGTGTCTTTATAGTTTGTCAGTAAACTAAATTGCAGTGCCTGAAGATGAAATTGACCTTTTATGCAAACTCACCGTCATCCACAGCCAGAACTTTCACGATATAGTTGCTCTTGATTACATAGTCTGACTCCCGGTCCAGTTCTTTCTTGGTTGTGATAACGCCAGTGTCTTCGTTAATAGACAGCCAGTCTCCAGTGTCATTTTCTAAATGGTACCTTTAGAAATGAGTAGAACATTATGAGTTGTTTCAGGCAGGTTGTGCAAACCTGCCAGGTCACAGTGCTGCTTTTACTGTACGGCAACAGGGCATGCTTAACAAGAACAGATCATTACCGAAGATGAGGTTACATTCACAATTTTCTTTCCTGTAGACTGAATTTCTCCTCGACTATATCTCAGGGTTGGTCAAATATATATTGAAATCAGAAGCCAGCCACTCTATTCTAAGAGTTAGTGGGCAATTTTAAGGAACCAGAAATTATTTGCTTCCATTGATGGCAATAAAATAAGCTCATTACATTTGTACATTTGAGGCCCATTGGCTATCTGACTTCTATATACTACATTCAGCCAATATTTCTGATGATTTAACACAGTTAATAGTTCTAACTGGTTCATAGTCTATATTGTCGTTTTTGCAAATTAAAGTGAACCTCAACCTTAAGTTAGGATACACAATGAATTGCGATTCAGTAGGGATGGTGAATAGGGGTGTTAGACTAAGTGAAAAAGGTACTCAAAGTGGACCTGAATAAAAAAAACTAGATCTAGTAGCTTAGAGGGAACAGCTTGATATGTGAATTGTGCCTAAGCACTACCCTGAAACATTTACCTTTTTGTCTTTGAATTCTTCATCATGGGGGCAACTCTGACATGAGGATGTAAATCCTGCTCCTCTACCAAGATGACTGGCTCCACAAAGAGTGCTGAACAAGGAAAGGTTGGTGTCATGGACAAGGGTCTGTAATCACTGGGAGTGGAAGCTCCCAATGATTACAGACCCTCCGCTATGTGGAGGAAATGCATAGTGATGATGGATCAGGTTGTCGGCATGTTTAGCAAAAATGTGATGAACTTTGCTGCAGGACATCTTCTAGGTTGATGCCCTCAAACACACCAGTACAGGCTGCAGATGACAAGATACAGGAATACCCTGGAGTCACAGAGGATTCAGCAATCCCCGAGGTATAAGAGTGCACAAAGAAGTAGCAGACTTTGGAAGCACTTGGTGTTCTGGACTTGCAGACAGGAGTGCCAAAGTCTCTGGGAACAATGGGGTGCTCAACAAAGAGAATTCCACTCCAGCAGGAGAAGATAACTTACAAAAAAAGCCCTTTTAATGGTTTTCTGCTGTGTACTTTGATATTGCCTTGATCTCAGGAAAGTGAGAGGATATTTCTAACTTCTTGGAATGTTGGAAACCAGCATCATGTCAATGGCACAATCAAAAGGCCCATGAGGTGAAACCAAATCCTCCTTGCATTTAGAGAAAGGTCTGCATAATGGGCTGATACAAGAGTAGAGATTTGGAGAAAGCCAAAGGAATTGATTTAAGTGGAGACAACTTGCAAGAGGTTTGGAGGGACAGGATGCACCCTAAACTAACTGGTGTGAGGAGGACCAATCAAACATTGGTGTATGTTCTTGCAGCCAAGGGAGACCCAAGATAAACTTAAAGAAGGCTTGGGGCTAGGGCTGCAACAACTATTCAACTAAGTCGATTATAATCGATGATTTAAAAAGTTGTCAACGTTTTCAATCATAGATTAATCGGCTTTCAATTAGTTGGCCCTGTTCACGGCTCCACACATGCGGCACCTCCTCCCTGCCTCACACCTGCCGCTGCCAGACCCGCCCACCCGCATCCACGCTACAGCTCCTCCCCGCCTCACACTCACCACCTGCCCACATCGATGATCTGCACAGGGACGCGGGGAGAAGAAGAAAAAGTAAGGAGGAGCAGGCGTGGGGGGATGACAGCCGCCGACAGGCCCGATCTCAGAAGCAAGTTGCTGGAAGACTGCTCAGGTGGGCCTGCACTTTCCCCCCACATAGTGCTGTACAATGTATTGCTGGGATAGTGGGATTTGTATTCCTCTATAGATGATGATACATTGTGCTGTACTGTATATGATACAGAGCAATGTACCATCAGCTATAGAGGAATACAAATCCAGGCAATGCATTATACACTGTATGCATAATGTATTGCTGGGATATGTTGTATTCCTATATAGCTGGTGGTATTCTGCATTGCACTGTATAATGTATTATTGCTGGGATTTGTAGTCCTCTATACAGCGCAATGCAGAATACCAGCAGCTATAGAGGACTACAAATCCCAGCAATAGTACATTATACTACACAATTAAGAATACCAGCAGCTATAGAGGACTACAAATCCCAGCAATAGTACATTATACTACACAATTAAGAATACCAGCAGCTATAGAGGACTACAAATCCCAGCAATAATACATTATACAGTGGTGCAATGCAGAATACCACCAGCTATAGAGGACTTGCTGTATTTCTCTATAGCTGCTGGTATTCTTAATTGTGTAGTATAATGTACTATTGCTGGGATTTGTAGTCATCTATAGCCGGTGCCATTCTGCATTGATTTGCTGTATAATTTTACACTTTCCATTTTATTATATTGCACACCACACTTCTTTTTTTTTTTTTTTACTTCCACTGCTCCAAGCTTGCTTCTGTGATGGACTACAATCTCAATAAAAACTAGTAGTCCATCACTGGAGCCATTTTTTTTAATCCCGATTAACTGGTTAATTTAGATCGATAATCGGCTAACTAATCGATTTTGAAAATAATCGTTAGCTGCAGCTTTACTTGGCGCAGTACCTTGAAGGAGATGATTTAATGGAAGAGTGCTCCTGCAGACATCTTGATGGGAGTGTTAGGAGAACAGATGGGTTCAGAAGCAAGAATAGTGCCATCTGTCGCTGAAACTCATGGGTCTGGGGAACAGGTTCTACAGTTCAGGCAAATGTCTCTACTAGGGAAGCAGAGACCAAGCCAGCTGCACCAGAGCCCATAAACGTTTTCACTGTGGCAATGGAAGTAGCAAGAAGTGAGGAAAAATTATGGGAATTGGCTGACTTTTTTTAACAGTATCATCCCTAAAAATGGCCAGAGTTCAATTATGAGATTCACACTCAATATATTTTACTGCTGAGTCCCGGTTCATCAAATTTCATACAGGATTTACAGAACCCTTGGCGAATGGAACAGCAGAGGAGCCTTGGAGGCATAGTCTGTCTTTTTCCAGTAAAATTTTATAGTGCCTAGAGCTGTTTGTCATATAACTTCCTCCTTTTTTACAAGATAATCAATTAATGTCACAGCTCAGCTTGTATGGAAAGAGGGCTGAGGAGGATGGAGGAGGATGTTAAAATGTTTGGTGTTGTGGACAGTTGATTACTATACACAATATTACAGTGGCAGTGGTGTGTAGATGTCAATAGGCTTCTGAGAGAGACTGAAATGTGCCTTTTCGAATTCCAATTTATTTTTATTTTTAAATCCTTTTTACTTACTTGATTTTATTTGGTGCTACAATATCTGGATCCTTTGCTTCCACTTTTGTAAGCGTAGTGCCTGGTGTGATGGAATGCTCTAGCAGATTGACTAGAATTGTTGTAGGCTTGAATACTGGAGCATCATTCATATCTAGGATGTCTACTGTTATTGTACCGGTCGGTGACACTGTCTTTCCTGCCCGACCTTTTTCAGTTTCTATGACCCACATTCCTGTGCTGGGCTTCTGTAGGATTTTGCAGCTATAAAATGGCTCCTCATTTGCCGCCGATATGGACAGGAGGCTCTTGGTTGTTTCTTCATAATCCAAGGGCTGTTAAAGAAAAAAAAGGCTTTGACATTTCACATCTTAGATGTTGATATTTGTAAAGTTGCAAAGTACAGTAAAGGAAAGCAACCCATCAGACTTTGGTTCAGTAAAGTTAGTACAGTAAAAGATGTACTGTGACTTTACTTGGGCAATCACTCTTGCCTTACTCTAGAAGTCTATATATTTAAAGAATAACTAACTCCAATTTAAAAACAAAACAGCTTTTTCACTGCTCCAAAATCTGTCATCACAGTCCCAGATCAGTGTAAACATTTCTTTGTTTGCTTGCATCTAACTTTTCTAACTGCAGACTTCACAGGTCAAGAGTGAACAGCTACTTGTTTTGATCAGTGTCTTTAGTACCAGGAGCTGTAAATTATGATTTCTAGACTCTACTGCACTAATGAAATCACAGTAGAACCAAAAGATCACAAGCTGCTGGAAGAAATTATCCCTTACATACATTTAATAATGCCTTGTCCATCTCCCCAATCCCAAGAAATTCCCCAAAACAATTGTGGAAAACATAATGGCCATCTAACGGTATTTCTGATGTTTCTGATCTGGGGCACACTGCTCTAACACAATGTCTGCAGTCTGTACTGTGCAAGTTCATTGTCAACAAAGTAGGGTTTACACTGGTATAGGTCTGTGATGGCAAAAGAAAAGGCAGAATTAAGGGGTCATATATGCAGAGTTATTAAGTATCCTTTAATATATAAAATGTGCGTTTAAAGTTGTAATTGGGAGCAATGGTTAGCATAGAGATGGGCTTTATTTCCTGCTATAGACACAAACCTTTATAGAACTTTATCATATTTTTTTCCCCTACCAAACACAGCCACACTGTCATTGTTTTATGAGTGGTTGCTGTTATCAAGGATAGCTAACTTTGTTACAGTAAGAGGGAAATGTATACGTTATTGATATAAGGTAATTTTTTTGAAACCTTTTTGATGATCTTGTTACAAAGTAACTATAACAGTATAGTAAAGAGGGAAGTCAATGACCAACTGTGTCCAAAAAACTGGTTAAGTTGCATATTTTGCTACTTTTGCTTTTTCCACTGTAATGCATAAATGACTTCTTATCTTAGTTGTATGCTTTGTCTGAGAAGGTAGTTTGCATGATACTTTGCAGTTTGTTTCTAACATAAGACCAGTTGTTCAAACCTGCAAATGATACTAAATATGGCAGCTGAAATACCTTTTCACCCATTTCCAGTTTTGGGGTAATCTAATCTAAACTTTTGTGACCAGACCAACTATTGAAGTTTTCGTATGCAGCTTTTAATTTTAAATAATATTGTTCCAAATATTTAAATTATTTTCTCCCATTTATCTTGGGTACAGAGCCCCCACATATGTGCAGGTTTTGATAAATATATCAGCACTGTAAGGTCGATAGACAAGACAAGTGTGTATATTTTAGATTTTTGGATATTCAGCATTTTATAGAACAATGGTTGTTATTCACTGATCAGCCTGGATGATGATAATATACGGCAGGGCCATTGCAAATGAATTAAATAAAAAAGATAAGTCTGTGTTCACTTTATTTCTAGGCTAAAAATGTTGTGTAATGGCCAAAAATTAAGGTACCCACAATGTTAAATGAGTTTAAGATTTAGATTTATCATTTCATGTGTCCCCTTTAAATTAATAGCTGTCATCAAGCGGCTCACAAGCCGCTGATGACCGCTATTTTCAAAAATACCGGGCAACGGCTTGCTGCGGCTGGGTTCGGGTCGGCCGAAGTGCAGAAGGAGTTTGACTCAGCTGATCCAACATCTGGATCGGCTTAGCCGAACCTCCGGCAGGCTACTCGTTGCTGTTCGGCCTATTCTCATAGGGCCCAAACAGCAGTGAGTGAATAGCCGAAGGCCGGAGAGCGCTCTTCGGCTCAGCTATTCTATTCTGCTCGGTACCTCTGTGTATCCCAGCGGCTCCGCCGAGTTCTCAGTGTGGTTAGCTGCTAACCGGTTGGCCGGAGCCAACGGTGAGATGATGGCTGGCTCCGCCAAGTTGTCAGTAGCAGGTTAGGAGGGCTTGGCAGCGAAAGGGTTAAAAGATCTGATGCATTTTAAAAGTACGGTATTTCATCATGCTGCTAAAGAAGACGACTTCTTTAGAAAGCTCTTTCCACATAATGTAAAACACCTTTGTTTCATATATAGTACATTTTAGTCGCACTCTTTTAAATCTTTTTTTTTTCTTTTTGTAAGCTTGTGGCTTGCTCTGAAAAATATGCCAGCTTTTTATAAGTTTACACAGCATTTTCTAGTTCTCAAATTACCTTCACCACAGTAAGAATGCCTTCATTTGTTTTTGGGTCGGTTATAATCGCATAGTTTTCATCATCATTCCCTTCAACAATGGAATACACTGCTCTCCACCCCGACGTGTATGGTGTATCATTGTCCACTACTCCAAATCTCAAGATGGTCACATTGACTTCCTTTTCTGGTACTTTGGTCTGGAGCTGTTGAGAGAAAATACTGCTTACAAACTTAAGTAGAGGCATGTGTTAACTGGACTAAACAGACAAGCACTAGGATTGTTGCCATGTTCAAACAAAATATAGCCAAACCTTTATTTATTTGCAAACCAGTGCCATCAGTGATAACTCTAGACCACAAGGGAAAATACAGTTTTTTAAATCATTTTTTAAGTGACACAGGAATTGAGTTTTGGGTAATTCTGCCACCTTCAGGAAGAATTGGAAACAAAAAAAACTGTTGGCCAGCCGTGTAAAGCCCCTCCAGCTCTAGCATGCATAATTTTCAGCAGGATTATGTACCAAAAATCATGGGTCTTTAGATATTTTAAAATCTTTGACAGGCACCCTTGGCCAATCAGTCTAAAAAAATTCCAGTAGCCTGTATTTTCTTAAATTAACAGTAGTGTGTCTGTTGACACTACACTGATACAGTATCAATGTATATTTGTTAGTTTGTGTTACTGTTCAATTATAGTCAATGGAAATTTGTAACCAAAAAAGAAAAGCTTTGATTGGTGGTGCTGGCCTCCGACTCTAAGCGCTTGCCCAAGACAAGTGCAGCCACCAGAAATGCAGGGGCAGTGGGGCATCAGCAAAACTATTCTCAGCATGTACACAGTAGAGCACAACACAGATCACAGCCTGTGTCTCCATTGTACACCAGAGGAAAGACTAAGCCCAGACCTGCCCACCAACCACAAGTTTTTCTGGGGAGAGTGGTAGCTTGCATGAGTTGTTGTGGGCTTTTGTGTTTGTAAATGTTGGGCACTTGTCACCAGCCCGCTGTCATTTACACCAACACAAGCCGACAGCTACTATTCTAGTCTCTTTCCTCCAAATAGCTGGCTACTGACTGGCGAGTGGGTCTGGGCTCAGTCTTTCCTCCAGTGTTCAAGGAAAATGGGGTTAGAGCAGAACAGGCACAGGACTGGAAGATTAGATTGCAGAGTAGCATAATGAAGAGTGGGAGGTGGTTTCAGTCCTATGCTGTAGCTCTGACATAGAAACACCCATAAATTGGACTTCAGCATGGGGTGGGGCCACAACACAGACAGAAAAGAAATGTCCTTTTATTTGCAAACCACTGCATGGATCTGAACAAGGCCATATGCTATGTGCCCTGGATCCCCTGGGGGGATTCAGGGAAGATTTTCAATTTCTGGTGATAATTCTACTTAAGAACTCGGCCCCTATGTATCCAATCCTTTTAGCTTTGATCAAATTAAAAATAGATTGCATTTTCATCTAAACATGCAAAGTAGCACACTACTTTTTAATGCCAATGTGCAAAAAAAAAAAAAAATGTAAGTCTTTTTATCACTGTCCACTAAGGATGAGGGGAATAAAACCAGTGCCATGGCCTTTGTTTAACCATTTACTGCCATAAGTAGGTAGCAAATTAAAAATCAATGTAATGCTGGCGGAAGCAAAAATGACTATTCTGTTGTTTATTAATAAAATTACAGTGTTAGTTTACAGTCACGCTGAGGAACATGCTGTATATGCAATCAACATTGATTAAGCAGTAGACACACAGGCTGGTTCTAGCACAGCGATCCACAGCTTTGTCTTTAAATACGTACAGATGGCTTGGAAAATGTTGGAGCATTGGTGTTTCTATCTAGCACAGTCACATAGACCTCGCTGGTGCTGCTCTGCTGTTTCAGCACACCGTTGTCTTTTGCTTCAATCACCAGCTTGTACTTCTTGTTAGTCTGAAAGAGAGAGATTGATAAAACAATCCATTACTGTATAGTTGCACTTATTTATAGCGAGTCTATAAGCCTCTTATCTTATGGCGAGTTTCACTTTTTCTATTATCTGGACCTTCTACTTAGGGATAAGCCACCCCCACCACCCCCTGTCCAATGAGTGTGCTGTTGCTGAATGCACCTAATAGCTGGCCCCTAAGTTGTGAGGTTTTCTCTAGTTGTTGTCAATGGAGCTAGCTCTTAAAAAAATTTAAATCCTACTGGCTCCTGGATTGGACAGACTTGCTTCTGAATTCTCTATTAATGTGTACACCCCTGGGTTAAGTCAATCCCGGATCAGAGAGGCATTTTTGTTTATTAAAGGTAATGTGAGCCAACTTGCGGTGCCCGCTGTTCAGCTTAAAATATATAGCAACCTCAACAACTGGCCAGCCATACATACAATACATACCTACAATTTGCTTCAAATGTTTTGTAACCTTTTCACTATGAAAGCCCTTCCTCTCCTCCCCAGATTCTGCCTTCTGCACCTCTTACCGGAGCAAACTGGTATTGTACAGTCTCTAAAAATGCTATTGGAATTAAAGTATTTTTGTTGCTGGATTCCATTTTTTCCAAGCATTGCAAACAGGGGGGACAGGAATCCTAGTTGTATTTTACAAAGGGACTATGAACGGTAAGGATGCTGCTGTGTTACTTCAGAGGGTCCCATGCATCCTGAAGGTTTTTCTGTGTCCCTTTTATTAATTTTACATTTATTTCCGGCTATACTTGATAAAAGTATACTAAACTCTTATAAAAGTATATTAAACTCTTCAGCAAATGAATTAGCATTTAGCATCTATGATGATGTACCTCATAATTTAGACACCCTTTAAAGGAGATGAACCCCTTGTCCTGATCAAGGGTGAACTGCACATTTGAGTCGGTGGGCGTCTGAGACCGGAGGAAATAGCTGACGACTGAGTTTGGACTTCTTTCTTCATCCTTGTCGTAAGCCAGCAATGTGTAGATCGTATAACCTAAAACAGACACATCTCTTTGTTATGGAGAAAAACAAACTGGTCCTCAGGCCCCAAAACCAGCAGACACTCAAGGCCAACAATGTCACTAATGACTATTCATTCCTCTGCCTTCTCTTTTATGCTTAGCTGTGAAATCTCACAGGCATGCTTAGTACGAGGAAAGGATTAATATTAAAATGGCCACTGGATATTTTCTGAACATAAATTTTATTCTATATGCAGATGAAAGAAGAAAGATTTAGCCCCCAGTTGTATTTTTTCAAACACCAGATTTTCCTCAAGACCTAATGAATTTAAAAAGAATCTGAAAATGATTTGTTTGGTAAATAGTTACTTTATACATGCTGTGTAAGAGGGTACAGCAATTCAGCTTTTACTTTTGGGCCCTTCATCTTCTATATTAGTACTGTGTGCTTGCAATGGTTAGGGTTTTCTTATCCTTACTGTTATGATAACTAGTATTATTGTGCTTACAAAGCTATACAGATCACTGGGACAGGTTGCCAATGCATCTAAAAGGAATTGTTTGTATTTAGTTTTCTTAGCTTTATTTGGTTGTGTAGCCCTTGCATTGAAAATGAGCGTGGCAGCTTATGATTATTACTATTTTGTTTGGGTTGCTACTAGCATTTGATACAAGGTTATGGAAGCAAAAAAAAAAATGAGATTTTGTGAAGTTTAACCTGAACAATGCTTATAATGAAATTAATGACAACACTTCTGCCTTGAAGTGTTGGTCAGTGGAAAATACATATTTGTTATAGGCACAGCTTGTGGGCTCGGTCACTTGCTGTCATGTTTGACGTATGGACATCTCTCACTGTAGTAGCTACTACTCAGTGGTGGATCTGCAAACCATAGGGCAATGTGAAGATCTTGAGTCCGTCTTA